GCTCAACACCTTTCATGCCCATTAAAGAACTGATTTCTGGGTGGATTTTTCTGAAAAACGTTGATTAAAGGCACAAAAAATAAAAATGTTCAGTTACCACCGACTCTTAAGCTCTGGAAATTACTAATCTTTGACGCCATTTTCTCATTAATTTTACCTCTGAAAACAGGTGACCCCACCTCCTTCATTCGCAAATATCTCGACTTGTATTCAAGATAAATGGATGTTTTTTTCCATCAAAATAAAGACAGAGGAACAAGCTTTAAGATGATACCAATAACTCTACATGCCCAAAAAATTGACGAGAGCCTGATTCCACCACGCTGCCTCACATTTTTCAGTGAAATATTTCGCTTTTGATTTCGTTTTTTTCTCGCTTTAATGGAATTTTCAAAAGTCCACTATCTATCTATCTATCTATCTATCTATCTATCTATCTATCTATCTCTCTATCTCTCTATCTCTCTATCTCTCTATCTCTCTCTCTATCTATCTATCTATATATCTATCTATCTATCTATCAATCAATCAATCAATCAATCTATCTATCTATCTATCTATCTATCTATCTATCTATCTATCTATCTATCTATCCATCTTTCTATCTATCTATCTATTTCTCTCTCTCTCTCTCTCTCTCTCTCTCTATCTATCTATCTATCTATCTATCTATCTATCTATCTATCTATCTATCTGTCTGTCTGTCTGTCTGTTAGTCTGTCTAATATATAATGCAGACAAGACCCAGTGCCAATAGTCGCGTTTACTTCTTCATTTCTCTGCCTGTATCTTCTTGTGATGTTAATGGTTTTGCGGAGACATTTCACCTCGCATGCAGTGATTTTACTTTCTTGGGTTTTTTACACAATGTTCAAGTCTGACACTGTTTTACTTTTAGTTTTAGTAGAGGTTTTACGGCTCTCACAACTGCATAAGGTCATATGAGCGCCAAAGGGTGGATGTCAACAGCGAAGTCCTTATAGGGAATCAGACTTACTCTGCTCACCTCTCTAGCTTCAACAGCACAAAGTCTGCTTCGACTATCAAGGCACCCCGGAAATAGCTGGTCACAAGAGTGTGACAAACATACAAAAGAAGTAGAGGGAAGTGACGATTGTAAGGATTAGGAAAGAAAAAGCAACAGTCTCCTGTTGTAGTTCAGGCACAGTTATGAGCATGACATTGTTGGATGAGCCCATTTACAATTCTACTGTGCATTAGAATGAGAAATGTCCTCTCTTTGGGAATGGCCTAAAGACACTACAGTCAGTGGCACAGCCCCGGCGGGTAGTCTGACACTGGTAGGGTAATGTTGGTACACATATGTCAGGCAGCGTGGTGGAATCAGGCTCGCATCAAAATAATCAAAGTGAAGAAACTTGCATTTTTCCACAGGTTTGTGAATTTTTTTCAAATTTTTTGTTGTTGGCATAAACACTTTTCCTGCCCATTAAAGAACTCATTTCTGTATGGATTTTTCTGAAAAACCTTGATTAAAGACACAAAAATGTAAAATTTTAGTTACCACGGACCCTTAAGCTAAGGAAATAAAAGATCTTTAGCGGCCATTTTCTCTCTAATTTTACCTCTGAAAACAGGTGACCCCTACCTCCTTCTTTCGCAAATATCTCGACTTGTATTCAAGATAAATGGATATTTTTTTCATCCCCCCCCCCCAAAAAAAGACAAGTGAACAATCTTTAAGATGATATCAATAACTCAACATGCCCAAAAATTGACGAGAGCCTGATTCCACCACGCTGCCTCACATATTGAGGTGATAAGCTATCTCTTTGTGTCCACGCAGATGTTTGGGTGAGACAGAAGGGTTGCTGGCCGGTAGGTTACGGTGTTGACTTTTTGAGTTTTTCATTTCTATTTCTCTCTATATATAATACGTATATTTGTTTTGCCAGTGATGAAAGCTCTGTCGGGAGGAAACAGCACTCCACAAAACGGAGATGAAAAGAAGAAGGAAATTCACCGGAAACCTCATCTGCTGTAAGATTGTCTTCTGGAACAATCCAGTAAATCTATTACCTTTTCCACATGTAAATCTGTTTGTACAATCCAGAGGACCTATTACCTTTTCCACATGTAAATCTGTTCCTCATCTTTTCTTCCGTATTCTGTTTTCTCCTCCTCCTCCTCCTCCTCCCCCCCCTCCTCCTCCTCCTCCTCCTCCTCCTCCTTTTCTTAATTTTCCTCCTCCCCTCCTCCTGCTTCTCCTCATTTTCCTCCTCCTCCCATTCTTCCTCCACCTTCTCTATCTCGTTCCCCTCCTACTCTTCCCCTTTCTTTCCCCTCCTTTTCCCTCCTCCTCCTCCTGTTCCTCAATTTCTTTCTCTTCATCTGATATTTGTCTTTCTCCATATTTCTAATCGCTAGACGCCTGTTCTGTTGTCTAGAATGAGTTTTTTTCCTCTTTGTATTCCTGTATATGCGTATGCTTGTCGATGTGTGTGTGTGTATGTGTATGTGTGTGTGTGTGTGTGTGTGTGTGTGTGTGTGTGTGTGTGTGTGTGTATGTATGTGGGTGTGTGTATGTGTGTGTGTGTGTGTGTGTGTTTATGAGCGTGCGTGTGTATGTGTGTGTGTGTGTGTTTATGTGCGTGCGTGTGTATGTGTGTGTGTATGTGTGTGTGTGTTTATGTGCGTGCGTGTGTATGTATGTATGTGGGTGTGTGTATATATATATATATTATGTAAGTGTGTGCATTTTAAGATCTAGGCTTAGCAGGAGCTGGGTGGCAGGCGGGTGTTCTCCTACGGTTTGCCCCTTATTTCCTATCAAACATCCATCGTCGTTATCTCTCCTTCTTTTCTTTCTATGTTAGTCATTAGTGACAACTCTAATCTTTGGCACTTACACGACCTATTTGTGTGAGTGGTTTGTGGGTGCTCTGGTGTGGTTTGCTCCTTCTTTCCTATCAAACATCTATCGAAGGCGCTCGTATGACCTTATGCAGTTGCGAGCGCCGTAAAACCTCTACTAAAAAAAACAAACAACAACAACAACAACAACAAAAATCTATGGTCCTGATTTCTCCTCCTTTTTTTGTGTTTGTTACTCTCTTGTAACACCTCTAATCTGAGACACTTTTATGACC